ATTCAGTTGGATAAAAATATAAGTTCAAACTCTTAAAATTTTTCTGGAATGAATATACTAAAAAGCCAACAGCTCAATTCTGCTACAGAAAACAGTCTGGATTTTAAAATTATATGAAACAGAAGTGCTCCAGGCATTAATTTTATGATTTGTTCTTTCATCTAAGTGTAAGTAAAGAGAAAAGCCCTTGAAATTTTTCAATCAAAGAACCACTAAAAAGATTAATTCACTTCAGAATGTTTACACAGAGAGAGAGACACCCACACAGAGACGGGAGAGCTATTTAACATGTCAAGCTCTGACTCCATCAGCTAATACGTGCTGGACGTGATTAAGCTCTGAGCTTAGCTGCCAGCTATGATTTGTCCCAGTTCATTAAAGCAGTAACAATTTTTAGTCACTAAGACTTGCCTCATCAAGTTAATAATACCTTATTCCATAGTGTCAAAATTAGGTTTAAAACTTTAAGAAGCTTTAACCACTAACTCTACTGGGTCATAAAAGTGACTGAATGTATAACGTGGCTGTATTAGTTGTCAAAAAGGCTGATGCATATGAATATGGGAAAGGGTGGCAGGAGATGGTGCAGACTGGACTAAATCTTAAGTCTATTTAAATTACATATATATGTGTTTTATAGTTTGATAAAAACTGTTCATATTTGTATAACCTCACTTATTAAAATAATTTTGATCAAGGATGTGACATTTTGCTATTCTTAGTTAAAAGAACTATTACAGAACAAAATAATAATTCCTGTCCTTTCAATAGTTCCCTGTAGCCCTGGCCAGGTTGCTCAGTTGGTTGTAGCGTCGTCCCACACACCAAAAGGTTGAGGGTTTGATTCCAGGTCAGGGCAAAGGCCTGGGTTGTAGATTGGGTCCCTGGTTGGGGTGCGTACAAGAGGCAACTGCTTTGTGTTTCTCTCTCACATAGATGTTTCCTTCCCCCCTTTTTTCCCTCCCTTCTCCTCTCTCTAATAAATAAGTAAATAAATAAATAAATGCAATAATACATTATCCTCGGGTATGGGTAAAAAAAAGGAAAAAAGAGTTCCCTGTAGGCCACCTGACATTTTCTTCTAGTCTTAAATACCATATATATTGCTAAGAGAGTATTTTCTACCCAAACCAGGAATTTATTGAAAGTTTTTCTCAACAAGAAAGTTCACAAATATAGACTGGTCAGGAGCCCTGAGCACCATGAAATAGATGAAGCCTAACATCTTAACTGTCTTCCTTTCTCCTGTGATCTAGAAAAGGGCTGCGCTGTTTCAAGTAAATGTATCATGTGCTAAAGGACAGGTGATGAAATAAAGGGTGTTTGTTAGAGCTCAGGGCCCTTTCACCACCTAAAATAAGGCAAACGGGTGTCAGAGGTCGAGGAATAAAGAACCAATGCCCTCCAGTTCCCAGCCTTTCTGCCACCTCCGTCCACTGCAGTGTTCTGTACAGATTGTTCAAGTGTGACCCTTTTCTACCTTGTGAATGAAAGCTTTTTGTACAGGATCTTTGCTAAATATTAGTCAGCCACTTTTGCTTGGGTGAGCAAAACTTCAGGACTGAAATTTTCTTGAAAAGGTAGAAACACAAATGTGCCACTAAAAGCCCTGGCTGGTGTGGCTCAGTGGATTGAGCTCCAGCCTGCAAACCAAAGGGTCACTGGTTCAATTCCCAGTCAGGGCACATGCTTGGGTTGCAGGCTAGGTCCCTGGTGGGGGCCGTGTGAGAAACAACAACACATTGATGTTTCTCTCCCTTTCTTCCCTTTTGTCTAAAAATAAATAAATAACATCTTAAAATTAAAAAAAAAACCCACTAACATGGAGATATGCAGACATAAAGACCCAACACCGAGAAAGATTTCCAGAGAAAACTTTGAACTCCGGTGAACTTTGGTGCCACCACCAAATGACATTCATCAGAAGTACTCCCTGCTTGTTAGTGAAATGTGTTTAAGTTTTCCTAGAGGGCTTCCCAGCAGTTGGTGTATCACCTCTTATATCAGTATATCAGCATAGCAACAGTTAGAGCCGCTTCTGCTGTTCCTTGAACAAAGCCAGGCAAGGTATTTCAATGAATGACGTGCGGAATATTGGCTATTCACAATTTCAACTAAACTCCATTAAAAAAATGCGAAATGCCCATGACTTAATAGTTAAGTAAGAATCACTTTTTGTTTATATTTCTCTTGGACTGGGCTTGTATTTGATGCACAATTTCAATGAATTTACACTGACTTTGTTTAATACTCTACAATAGCCCTACAATACTGCTAGAGTGTGGCCCCAATTTCACAAATATCAATCCTAATTTTCTTGTAGTTGTTTTGGGAATGAAGATTAAAGTTTCACAAGTAGTATAGAGAAGTGATGAAGCTGATCATATTTGTAAATGATCAAACTAATACGCAAACTTAAGAGGTAGTGAATATGCATATATATGTACATGTGTGTACATACACATATATATATTTACTTATTTTATCTCTTCTGTCAGTCTCAGCCAATATCATGTTCAATAATCTGAATTGTAAAAACACTTTTAATTCTTCTTGTAAGACAGTGATTTCTGGCACCTATGCGTCCACATACGCATGATTTTATAACAAGGAGGTATGAGAAAGAAGTATGGTTCTGGTTTTCCTGTTGAGGGTTAGTTTTCCTGTTCTGGGTATGTTCTGGTTTTCCTGTTGAGGGTTAGTTTTAATATTTCATTAATTTCTTCTCCCACACTAGTATAATTTCTTTCAAAAGTAAGTAATCTTTTTGTAGACTATAGAATAAATAACAGAATATATATTAACATGCATTTTAAATTAAAAATGAGCTTTCAAAATAAGGAAAACTTCTTACTTTTTAAGTCTAATTTGCTGAGTATAAGCATAATCAAACAAAATTCCAAAAATATATTTCTCCCTTCAGTAATTCAACTTAAAGTTTAAGATTTCATGAAAAATAATGAAATACTTATTAAGATATTTATTATAAAGACATTTCAAGAAACTAGCCTATTTTTACTTCAGGGGGCAATTAGCAAAACATGAGAACAGAATACAATGATGAGCCCCAAGTTAGCATCTTTTATTACTAGGGTTACGGCTCCAAATCTCAAAGTGAATAAACATCTTTTAAGGGGAAACAGCATGAAAAATGTAACAGCATGAAAAAGTCTCCAGTTTAACTTTGCTACTAATAAATTAGGACTTCAAAACAAAAACAAACAAAAAAGAAGCCCAATAGTTACTAAACACACCATCCAAGGTGAAAATAATAGTCTTATAGTAGCAGATTCATTATCTGTCCTTGTCTAGAAGTTGGAGGCTTTGTCCTTCGATGGCAGGTTCTGCTTGACACAATTCCAGGTTATATTCTGGAGTACCGGTATCTATGCTGTTTTCTACAGCAACCCAAAAATATTGCCCGCAAATCAAAATCTAAGTTGGCTGTTTTCGATCTGTGAACACATGACCCACCTTGTTACAGAGTCTGAAGAAGAAACATAGTGGCCAGATTAAAGTTATAAGTAGATGTGTTGTCAGGATTGTGTTGTTTACATTTCTTTGAATGTAAATGAGTATTTGAATGTAACAGGAGGTATTTCTGCTAGAATCTACTTCACTCTCAGGATTCTGAAGCCTAATGGGAAGAATAAGTAGATTACAATTCATTAAAAGATGAAACAACAAAGAAAGCCTTTTATTTTCTTGCACAAACCTGAGTTGAACTACTTGCTCATAGAAAAAATTTAACTCTATACCTAGTTTCACATAAAAAATAAGTTTTGAGGACTAGAGACAACATAGTAATATACATCATATAAACATAATTACAACAAGTACTCTGCAAGAAAGTATTGACAGTTATGATAAAGTACAGGTTCCTATGGGAAAAAATACTGTGTTGTGTAGGTGTGAAAAGACCCAACTTAGTGTGGATACAAGCAATGTGAGTAGGCCTTTCAGAAGAAATTCTGTTTAGACCGAGACTTGAAGGATTGACATAGGAGCTAGCCAGGCCATGGAGTGATGGTGGAAAATGCATTCCAGTCATGAGTACTGAAGCTACAGGGTGCACTGGAAAATCTGAATTTTACCAAAGCTAAAGAGGGAGAGGCAGAAGGTGGAGAAGTAGACACTATCTGATAGTGGAAAGCCTTAAAGTTACTTAAAGGAATTAGGGAGGGGACTAGGAAAAAAATTTTAAGGAGGCACTCTAGTCTTGAAGTTAATCCAAAGCAGTTGATGGATTTTAAGTGGGATGGGATTGGCATGCTCAGATTTTGCATTTTTGGAGCATCACTCTTTATACAATGTGCAGGACCTACCTCTTGGAGGGAGGCTGTTGGAGTATTGTGAAAACACAGTGATTGACAAGATGGATAGTATGGGAGGATGGAAGACAGAGGGGAACAGACAGGATTTGGTGATGGACCAGATGCAGGAGATGGGGGAAGCCAGGAGTTAAAGAATCTTCTACTGCTGGCCAGGTAGCTCAGTTGATTACAGCGACATCCCAATTTGCCAAGGTTATGTATTAGATCCCAGTCAGGAGACATACAAGAATCAGCCAATGAACGCATAAATAAGCAGAACAACAAATCTCTCACTCAAGTCAACAAATAAAAATAAAGAAACCTCCCAGGCTTATAGCTTGAGCAAATAGGAATTTATTAGTTTATCATGTGGTATTTGTCTCCATTTAACCAAATGGGGATCTTAAGAAGTTATGTGACTAGCCTAGGGCTGCTCAGCTTGTAAGGCTTGGAAACAAAACTCAAATCCATTCCTGACTTCTCTGTTTTTGTTGATGTTATATTAATGGCGATGTTTTTTTCTTATTTTTTTCTGTCTAAACAGTCCTTTTCCTTTATTTTTATTGTTGGCACTATTACAGGTGTCTGTCAGTCCCTCCCACACCCTAAACAATTTTAATGGCAAATTTCAAGCACAACTGAGAGCCACTACTGTTTCATCTATATCCCCACCCACTTCCGTCATACCTGGTACTCATTGGCTTCGGAACTTGTCAAACTCTGTATCTGTTACATTTTGACAAGAAAAAAAAAAATGTTTCAGCACTCAGTACTTGCTCAGGACTCATCGCATTTGCTAGAACTTATATGAGTCATGACACCAGCAGCCACCGCCCCCAGCCCTCACCAAAGAGAAAATGCTCCATCCTTCGGCACTCCTTGGTTCCAGCACTCATCATGAGTTCTGGAGCAAATTATGGACGAGTATCGAGGTACCATTGTATCTCTAAAAGACATGACTTAAAAAAAAATCATAACCACAATACCAGTATCCCACCTTTAAAAATTAACATCACCAAATAAACAAGCAGTGTTCAAATTTTCCTAAATTGTTTTAAATAATGTTTGATTTGGGGTATAAGCAAGGTCACAGATTACATTTGGTTGGTATGTCTTTTAATCCAAAGGCTCCCCCTTTCTCTGTGGAATAGGAAGGGCAAGTTCAAGTTTGTGTGTTTTAATGCAAACGATTAAGACACCATGCTTTTGGGAAAATGTATTTAAAAGTTTCAAGGTACTTCTCCTCTTTAAAAGCCAGTATTTTGTTAAAATGTTTTTATCACTTGATATTAACATTTCAAATGGCTTTCAGTATTTGGAATATTTAGAATTTCTGTTTTTAAATTGATAGGATTTCTTTTGGTCTTTTCTGTTTCTCTTTTTTTTAATTTTTATTTTTTAAAACTATACTTTATTGATTATTCTATTAGTTAAAATTTATTTTTTACTCTATTATTTTCACTACCATTTATCCTCCCTAACCCCCACCCTCGCCCTGCAGTCACCACACGGCTGTCCATGAGTCCTTTTTCCTTTTCGCTCCTTTTCTCCATTAATCAACCTACTCCCCTCTCGCCCCCAGAGCTGTCAGCCTGCTCTCTATCTCTGAGTCTGCCTCTGTTTTGCTTGTTATTTCAGTTTGTTCATTAGATCCCACATGTGAGTGAAATCATATGGTATTTGTCTTTCTCTGACTGATTTATTTCACTTAACATAATGTTTGCCAGATTCACCCATGCTGTCGCAAAGGGTAAAAAATTTCCCCCCTTTTATGGCTGATTAGTATTCCATTGTTTAAATGTCCCACAGTTGTTTTATCCACTCATCTACTGATGGACACTTGGGCTGCTCCCAATCTTGGTAACAGTAAATAACACTGCAATGAACACAGGGGCGCTTATATGCTTTCGAATTCGTATTTTGGGTTTCTTCAGATAAATTCCCCAAAATGTAATCACCAGGTCATAAGCAGTTACATTTTTAATTTTTTGAAGCAGTATCTCCATACTGCCTTCCACAGTAGCTGCACAAATCTGCATTCCCACAACAGTGTAAAGGGCTCCCCTTTCTCCATATCCTCACCAGCATTTGTTGTTTGTTGATTTGTTTTTTTAACATGATTTAAAAAAAAGATTTCATATATTTATTTTTAGAGAGATGGGAAGGGAAGGAGAAGGAGGGAGAGAAACATCAATGTGTGGTTGCCTCTCATGTGCCTCCTACTGGGGACCTGGCCCACAACCTATGCATGTGCCCTGACTGGGAATCGAACTGATGACCCTTTGGCTTGCAGGCTCAATCCACTGAGCCACACCAGGCAGGGCTGTTTGGTGATTTATTGGTGATAGCCATTCTGACTGGTGTGAGCTGATATCTCATTGTGGTTTTAATTTGCATTTCTCTGTCTGTTGGCCATCTGTAAATGTTTTTTTTTTTTTCTTTCCTTAAAGAACTTATCTGTTTCCATAGCTTTGGGAGTATTCCTGGTAGAATCACTACCAAATCTAAATCTCTAGCTGTAACCACATTACAGATTTTAAATTATTTGAAGACAGGGATTGACTACTCTTAATAAATGATCTCTTTTACCAGTTACCTCTTGGGCATTTCAAACTTTTTAAGTTGCTTTTTAAAACTCATTATCTCTACCTGTTAACTCCCCCCTTTCCTCTATACCTAGTCTTTTCTTCTGTCTACCATTCTTCCGAATACTCAGGCTTAAAACCTAAGCCATCACAATACTTCTCCAGTGGGTCCTCTGCCCTACCAAATGCAATTAAGTGCCAAACCTATCTCCGCTTTGTAATCTCTTATGTCCATTCCTCTCCCTTTTTCATTCTTGTTACTGCTACCCAGTTTAGGCTGCTGCCACGATTGGTCAGGGGGCTTTTACCTTTTAGGATTGCCGTCTCCTTTCTCCAATCTGTACTGTAATATGCTGCCAGTTCTGACTGTGTCCTTTCTCTATCAAAAACTTCTCAAAGCTTTCCAGTGCCTACCACACATTTAGTATTTGTCTGGATTGATTTAAGTCTGCTATTGCACAATTTATGGCTCCAAGTTACCTTTTTAAGTTGTATATGTTTATTTTTCTGTTAATCTGCCCTGGTGAACTGAAAATTTTTTCCATGCTTTTTTCCCCTGCAATTTTTTTCCTCTTTTCCTTTTTGGTGGTAGGATTCATTTTATAATGGGTCTATACACCAGGAAGGCTAGCTTAGATGACAAATTTTGAGCCCTGGAGTTGTGGATGAAAAAGCTTCTAAGTAACCTCACAGGGTAATCTGATCATAAATTCCTAACTGGATGGGTCATGGTCAAGCCCCAAGCATATAACTATTTTAGTAGAAGATTTTATCTTTGCCTTAAGCAAGCCCTATCCATTGTTTCTGCGCTCAAACTCATAAAATTTCTCTACAGGTTTGGACATTTTTTTACTTGACAGTATCATGCAGAGAAGTAATCAAATCAGCAATAATGATCCTATGAAAATGGTGATTTCTCTTTTGGGGTCACAGTACACACAACGACAGCAGGAGTTCACATCTTCTACAACAGCGGCCGGCGGGAAAGGCTGAGCCATTGGAGAGGGCCACTGCTCACTTACGCAGGAGCAGGGGGACCCAGCTCTGTTGGTTGTCCCACTTCCCTGTTACTAATCACAACAACTCATAATTTTGTTGAATCTGATTTGATTACAATGACTAGCCCTTGTATAAAGGAGAAATTCCTCAAAATATACAGGCATTATAAGCTGCATATTTGATCACTGGCTGAAAAATTTCTCCCCTGTGATTTTGATTACTGAATGAATAAAAGCTTGATGATAATGTTCTGGTGTTTAAAACTATTTTGGATAATAACAATGTTTTATATAAGTTGCCTTACTGAGTTTTGATACTCAAGGTTAAGTTTTTATTTTATTAACTTTCTCTTCTGTTCCCCTATCAGGGTTTTTAAAACTGGGATCTGCAGATTGATTCTGTATGGTGGATGGAATTCAAGTAGCCTGTGAACTTGGTTGGGGTAAAAAAATGACATCTTTCAATCAATCTCTAAGTCAAGTTTAGAATTTATTTCAACTGTGAATGGAGACAACAAACTATAGTAGCATTAGGAGTACCTGTGAACACATTTTCATATGCTGACACAGTGCCTACAGCGCTCTTGAACTTGCTAAAAATTATCACTACTTCAAAATTACTGTGGTTATTACAAGACCTTATCTAATTTGTTTTTTAAAAGCACATTATACCCAATGAAAATATTTTGACAATTATACCACCGTATTTTATCTTACGCATTTAAAAACATTATTCTGACAAGGGCTCCACAGGTTTTACCAAACTGCCAAAGGAATCTGTGGCACCAAATTGCTCAAGGACTCCCACTCCTACACTTCTGATGTAAGAGTCAAGTTAGCCAGATCCTGTGATGCCACACAGCACAACAAATCATGTCACAGCACATGTAATCGTGATGTCACACATTATGTAAATCCTTTGGCCATTGACTCTTGTGTACTAAATCATTATAGATTCTGATCTCACAAAGGAGAGGAAACAAAATGCAAAAGGGAGAATACAATGATTACAAGTTCAGGCAGAATAATTTTCCCTTTGTGTTAAGAAAGTGTACGTTCGTATAATTGAAAATTAGTTTCCAAAGGAGTTTTATTTAACTTACGGCACTTGAATAGAACAATGGGCATCTTAATTGACCTGTGGGATTTTCTTGCCTTCTTTTGGATGCATCAGCAGATACGCTTGAAATTGCTTCAGATCTTGTCTTCCACAGCTTCCCAACCTTGTATGCAAACTTTTATTATGCTAAACTAGGGGAACCCTAAAGAGGTCAATGAACCTCAGGTTTGAAATACTTGCATCCTTATTATCAGTCTACTGTGGTTGTATGATGTTTGTATTTCCTCTATCACCTAGAAAACTACTTAATGAAGGAGATAAAATAGGAGTGGTTTAACAATTACAGTGTTTTCCAAGAAAATAAAGCACTCATTTGAAACCCATACTTCTAATAAAGCTGCTGACAATTATCTTAACAACAACACAGTCTTAAGATTCATACACATTGTCAGCAGTGAAAAAGGCTGTGTAAGTTTAACTTGAGTATAGTTTGAGGTAGTAATGCTGACTTTGTTTTGATACACCTTTAGTGTCTATGAATATATTCTAAAATACGTAAACATTTGTGAGTGGTGGATAATGTTTTAATACTAGACCAGCAATTTCAACCCTTTCAACTCATGGCACACATAAATAAACTAATTAGTAAAACTCTGTGGCACACCAAAAATTTATTTTTTTTGCCAATATGACCAAAAAATAGGTGTAATTTTGATTTGTTTACACAGGATAACTATTGTTGTTTGGGCTGTTATCATTTTTTAATTTCGCAATCTAAGGTAAAAGAAGTTAGTGCCCCTGTCTAAAGAGCCAGGTATTGCATGTTTTTTAAGATTTTATTTATTTATTTTTAGAGAGGGGAGGGAGGGAGGGAGAAAGAGAGGGAGAGAGAGAAACATCAATGTGCGGTTGCTGGGGGTTATGGCCTGCAACCGAGACATGTACCCTGACTGGGAATCGAACCTGCGACACTTTGGTTCGCAGCTCGCGCTCAATTCACTGAGCTATGCCAGCCAGGGGCCACATGTTTTAAAAGTTCTTTTTTAAAACCGGTTGAAAATCGCTGTACTAGACAATTTTAATACACGTTTGCAGTTTGTCCCTTACTAAACAAGAAAACAACTTGGTTCTTTATTTGACATGAGGATCAAAGGTGGCATAATAATGACATACAGATTTACTCAAGGAATATTTATTAAACAATTATTGTGTGTACAAGTATTTACTAAAAAGGAGTGGACGAAATATATATTTCAAAATATGGTTTAAAAACTTTTAGAACGAGAATAAAGCTTTGAAGGGAAATAGTATATCCTAAGTCTTTTATAGTGCCTGGTAGCCGTTAACAAATTGCTAAATACCTAAAACTTCACAACTCTCTGGTCTGTTTTTTCTCATATCTAAGTCCCATCTTCCTATTTCTCATCTGCAGCAAACCCAGAATGAATGGCCATGTAGGCATTTACATACTACCTAAATCCTGCACAGGAATGCAAATTATAGATTGAAAACACAATGGGAAAGAAGGATGTAAGCTGAGAAAAGTTGTTACTCAAAATAATCAATTTTCAGATATCAAAAATCATTTACGCCCCTTTTTATGAAATGCCAATCTGATTTTCCAATGGGGGTCAGAACACAGAATTCCCGCCCAACCATTAACAAGAACTAGGATGATAAACCACACCCTCTCCAACCTCAGTTTCCTGTTCTGTAACATAAGGGAAACTGGCTGTTCATTAAGATCTTTTCCAGAGTGAATATTACATGTATTAATATTTAAAAGGGTAAAAGATATGTAAACAATTGAAATACCAATCTGTTGGTTTCATCCTATGGTGGTTATGATCTTTTTTTTCCTTTTTAATCTGTTTAGGCATGTTATAGCCTATTATGTTAAGCTTACAACTAAACCTTTAAACCTATTCAGCTATAAAAATCTCACAAAATGCTCCCCAGACCAGTAACTTGCATATTTAACAAGGGTCACTGCAGTCCCATGAAAGAACAGCAGCATCTAGCTAAACCGTCAATTACTAAAGTACGCTCAACTTCTGTTTAAGTAATACCCACTACCTGTTTTAAGGGCTAGATGTCTTGAGTTCTTCATCATTTCTATGGCAATTGGAAGGCACTCTACCTAGGGGTGTGAGCCTTGGATTTATGGGTACTACTGAATGCTTAACCGAAAAGCTTAAGATACACAGACTCTGCTTCACCTTACTAGGCTGAGAGCTGACATCAAAATTATTAATGGCTAATTCCTACTCACACGCCTCCCAAGTTCTCACATAATTCCTATCACAACATTCCAGTAGTTACTAATCCCACGTTTATTTTACCAGGGCATTGACGTGTACACATTTTATTTCGAAACCATGCTGTTTGAAAAAATTTTCAAAACTAGTTGTGATAAAGTAGCTTGTAAACATTTTACTGTTATCAGTAGACGTCTAGTTTATAAGCAGACCCTGGAAACGGCTGAAGTAGTAAGAGTTTGTTAAGATAAACTACAAACTAGTTTTAGCAAGTGCTTGTCGCACCAAATAAGTCGAGACAAAGAAATGAAACGTTAAAATGCACGTGGAAGAGGAGGATGAACTGGGAAAAAGCATGCATCTAACCAAGTGTAACGCTATCCTTCCGATTCCTCAAGAGGGTCGCCCTGAAGACCACGAGCGCCGCGGCTGACGCGCTGCAGCCACAGGTTGAATGACAAAGAGCCCCCGTCAGCACTGTCCTCTTGGCAAAGTCCACTCGAACCCTGCAGTCACGCCTTGGCGGCAGGGACTGCAGATTTCCAAACCACTCTCGCCAGTTACCAGGTGGGACAAGGATTGGCTGGCCGAGGAGGCTGGGACGGGCATGCCACGAGTCCAAAATAACTCCCGCCCGAGTGAGTCCCTTTCCTCGGAGCAGAATGCGGCCAAGAGAGTCTGGAGGCACCACGTGAGTCACCCCCACGTTGTCCGTTTTTCAGATCAAAAGCATCTCTTAAGGCGCCTCCTGAAGACTAGTGGGGAAACGACTTCCCCAAGGTCACCGGTACCAGGACCCAACTTCTCCGTCAGGCCGGTGGCTGGCACCTGACCAGGGGGCCGCAGCTCGGCTGGGAGAGGCGCTGTCCGCAGCGCCTCAAGGTCTCCTTGCCCAACGCGGCGCCCCGGGACCACGCGGCTGCTCTTGGCCACTTGCCCCTACCGGGCCGCCTCCCCTCCCCGGAGACGAAGGTCCCCGCTTGCCCGAGGCTCCCTCCCATAAGCCTAGGCAGCCAGGGCACCCTGGGGTCCGCATCCAGCGCCGCGGGCGATTACCCAACTAACCGTTATGCGCGGCTCCGGCGTCAAGCTTGTGCGTGACGAGGCGAAGAGGCGGCGCGGCCGGAGCTCCGCGAGGCCCAGGGCCCAGGTCGCGTCCTTCTCCCGCTGCCTCCTTGACTCCCTCCAGCACCCTCGAGGTTGGCCAGTCACCTCGCCGCTCGCCAGTACTTTGTCGGGCCCGGCCGGCGAAGAGGCTTTATAACCTGCGCGGGGCGGCGGGCGGGGGGGCCGGAGCATGCGCAAAGGGGGCGGAGTCAACCTTCCCAGCCGCCGCCCCCCTTCCTCCCCCACCTCCATACTTAACACTCCAACTGCCACTCGCGCCTCCACAGGGTGGTTTCGGGCGCAGGCGCGCGCTCCGGGGCGCGCTCTCGATCGCGCGCGCCAGCGCCCACTCCCCGCCACGTGACCTGCAGCCAGGCGAGACCCGCGCGCGGGTCCCCAGCTCAATGGCGGGGCTAGAGACCCTCTTCTCCACGGAGGTAGGCGCCCCTCCATCGTCTGAGGCGTTCGTGGAAACCTGCACGCGTGCGGCACACTGATGCCGGGTTTCTGACGTAAAAAGGGTAAAGCCGCCAAGGACGGATGCCGCGCGCCCTTAGGGGCCTGACTCAGGTGTGGGGGCGATGCGCGCGCGGAGGCGCGGGGAGGCGCCTGGAAGTGGAGGGACCGGGCTGGGTTAGAATGGGCGCGGGGGGCGGGGGGACCTCGGGAAAGAGGCGGAGGGGCGGCGGTTAAGAGCGCGGGCTGTGGGGTCGCCCTTGGAGTTCCCTGACCTCGGGGAAGCCACTGAAATCTTCGGGGCCTGTTTCCTGTTCCCTAAACCGGCAGCAGTCATAGAACCGACCTCGTATGCGCTTTGGGTGGCTTTGACTAGAGAATTTATGGAACCATCTTACTGCGGAGCCTGGCCTGTGGCACTTGATGAATGGTGGCTATTAAACACGGAAGTCAGGAAAGCAGAGCGGGTCTAAGGGTGACCACACTGGTCCCAAGAGGGGAGGGTGTGTATATCTGAAAGATGGGCAAATGAAACTGCAGGGCGAGGCCATAATTTTTATGGACACTGAATGGGACTAAGTATAATTATCGCTAACAGTTTGGAAGGGCTGATTGTATACTTAGCAGTTCCCTGAATTATCTTCATAACCCTACGAGGTAGGTACTACGGTTACTGGAAAGGAGACCTGACCGAGAGCGGGTCTGCCTCCCCCCGGCCTGTAGCATGTGGGTTCTTGACTTCATGCAGGAAAGATTTCACAATAGGAGTCCAAAACTGGGAACGGTGAAACGAGGAAGGGTATAGGATAGAAGAATCTACAGTAGAGGGCCTAGGCGGGGCTGCTTTGGCTCACTGGGAAGTCGAAAAAGAAGGGGCTTTGGAAGCAGGTTCGGAGGGTTAGCCCAGATGGGCTGCCATTGCCCATTTGGTCCCCAGGTTGCAAGTCTTGTGCGGCCTCTCAGAGCTTAGGTGACGTGTGCACGTGGGGGAAGAAAAAGGGGAAGGAAGAAGCGAGGAGCGCGCTGGGTCCTTGGTCTTGAGGGCTTTAGTTCTCTTGCAGGTGGGAGTTTTATGGGAGGTGTAGGGTTAGGGCTTTAGCAGAATATGCATCAGTTTTCCAGGTGTGCTCTTTCAGGTTCATGGTCTCTACTGATTGGTCGTGGCTGGTGGTGGGGGCGGGGATTGTCAGTCGTCACTGCAGCTGGTCCTGGTATCACCCACCTCATTTTGCTGCTTTTCTGGGCCTGGAGCTGAAATATAACTGAGGCCTGGATGTTATCTCTAGGGAAGTGACCTTCTTTCTGGCTGTAAATTGCTCAGCCAGTTTATTCAGTTTTCTGTCTCAGTTTCCCCATTCCACTTGCCAAGAAATTCTCCTAGCTTCTCACTTTCCTGCCTCATTACTACTATTAACATTTTACAAATGAACGACCTGAGGCTCAGAGAGGTTAAGTAACTTTCCAGAGGTCACAGAGTTAGTAAGTGGGCAACTCGAGTCCAGGATCTGATTCTGTCAAAAGAGCTGTTGTAGGTTCTTGAGCAAGGTCAGATACCAAAGTGTATAGTCATGGAGTGTCTCTATGTCCAGGACTTTCTTTTAACAATGACTTGAGAGGGAGAAACCGATTTGTTGTTCCACTTATTTCTGCATTCATTGGTTCATTCTTTTATGTGCCCTGACTGGAGATCGAATCTGCAACCTTGGCATATGGGGACAATTCTCTAAGTTAGCCATGCTACCCAGACAGAGCAGGATTTTTGAGAAATATCAAACATGTATGAGCCCAGGCCCCTGCCTCCCGAGAGCTTTGGAGTTGTTTGGGGAGATCGTGTTGGGCAGAAATCAACCACCTTTCAACATGCGCCCCAGCCCTGTCCTCCCCTGTACACACACGTTTAATCCTGACAACCCTGTGGGGCTGGCCTTAAGTATTTGCTTTGCAAATGAAGAACCTGAGGTTGTGGTGGTGTGGGCATGAGGGACCCAGTTCTGAGGGCTCCCGTGTGCTTTCCTCTCACCCATTAGGTGTTCTTTCAGAAAAAAAAAAAAAGCTTTCAGTGACAGTTCAACTTGTTAGTAGAAGACAGTTTAGCATCTCCGGCCAAGTACTGCTTATGAGTGATAATTGCCCAGGGGAAGGCACTTCAGGTCATTGGGGTGGCTGGGACCTGGAACAGCAGTGCTTTGGGATTGTTAGGGCGGCAACTGCGTTTAGGATAGATGGCGGGAGAGACGAGTTAAGGAGACAATCTAGGACTGGCTCAGACGGGAACTTACCAGGGCCTGAACCAGGGCAAGTAGTGGGAAGAAGATGATTCTCAGGAAACCTCGAATGAGGGCTTGCAGAGAAGCGTAGTGTGGTAGATTGACAATGTGGGTCTGCCATCCAGGTTTCCCCAGCTCCAACTCGGCACTCCTAGCTCTGTGTCCTCAGGCAACTCATTTTACCTCTCTGAGCCTCATTCTCTGCTTTGTCCAACAAGAATGGCACCTACCTCGCAGGGTTGTTATGATAATAAAGTTAGTATGGACTTCAGTGTCTGTCATATAGTCAGCACTAAATAAAAGTACAGTGAAGGAAAATCATGAAGCTGAATTCTAAAGGCCCCTCACTCGATAACACCCCTAACAGTCCGTTTGTAGTATCTTAGCATTTATTGTAATTTTTATTCCTTTTTGTGAAGATGTTCACCAAAATTATACATGCCTGAGGCCCCACAGCATCTAGATCTGCCGCTAGAAGGAACTGTACTGTTGTGGAAAGAGTATGGGCTTTGTTCGAGTAACTTACTATCCGTTCCTTTGGACGGTTAATTCACTGAACTAATCCAGGCCTCAGTTTCTCTACCAAGTAAATTAAAGGTAACATCTGCCAGCCTGAGCAGTTGTGATAATCAAATCAGGTAGTACTTGCAAAAGTGATTAGTAAAACTTGGACAGCATTCTATAAATGTTTACAAATTAATATTATTATAATTTGTCCATGAAGTGTATAAGAGGCAAGGATCAAAAGCAACACCAAGGTTTTTATTTGAAAAAGTGGAAGGTGGGTGAGCTGGCAAAAATGATGAAATGATGCAAGTAACATTCTTGCTTTTCTGCCAACTTTTCTATCTGATTGATCCATGAGACGGTGAAGAAATGAACTAGTAAGCATACAATCAGAAATACGGAGCTGAGAGGAGGGTCAAAGTCAGTGAGCATAACCTCCCTTCCACATTTTATGAAAATGGAAATTAAAGCCCAGAGAAGCTAAAAGATTTTTCTAAGGCCACACATCTAATAAATGGCATCAGAAGAACCAGATCTCCAGGCGCCAGGATCTTACTGTGACAAATGCAATCTTTAAAAACAGAATTTCATTACGTCATGTCTTTTCAAAATCGGAGAAGGCATGCTCTGGTGCTTGCTCTGGGAGCTTTTGTCTTTGTCACAAAATTCCCCAGATTCACTTTTTGTTTTAAAGGTTGATAGACTGGATGAGGCACGGTGATCGATCCACTGTTCACAAGCTTGTTCAGTGAGCACAGCTTCTAAAGACTTCAAGGTAAGAGCTATAGCTTCAGAAATTAGTAATGGGATAAGCACTGCAAATGTAAAATTTGAAAATTCATAACTGGTTGCTATTCAAGCTGTGAAAGTTAATTGCTGTATGTGGAAAAGGAGAATAATAAAATTACAGAGTATTTACTCTGGAACTCAACTGCTTCACTTACATCCTCAGTTACTCCATCATTTCTGTGAGGTAGGAGATAAGAAGGTGCTGTTATCTCCCTATCACTACTCAGGAAAGGATTTCTTTTTAAATACAATAATACTTAATTCAGAACACTCCCCCATTTGCAATTCATAATTTAATAAGGAAAATGGAAATGAAATTTGCTTTTGTACTATGTATGGGGGGGGGGCCCAAAAAAACTAGTAATGTATCTGTAAAAAATTGTGTATTCTTACCTATTTAAACTTCACTCACCTTCAGAGTACTCTCCATTTGATGCAATACACCTATCGAGACTTTTCTCCACTGCTCAAAACAGTTTTTGAACTTGTCAGTTTTGATGCCTTTTAGTGCTTCTCCCATGTTTTGTTTCACCTCTTCCACATCAGCAAAATGTTTCTCTTTGAGGACTTTTTTCCTCTGGGGAAGGAGAGAGATTGGGTGAATAGGAAGGGTGGGGGGTTGAATACTCAGCGTGGTGTGGGCAAGTATGCTTGAAAATCACCCACCATGAAATGGGCAAATGCATTGAAAGAGTCTTCAAAAAAAAAAAATTCACAGAGGCCAAACGCAGACTCTCACAATAAATGCCGGTTGGTACACTGATACAGATGCCTTCCTAGAAAACTCACCTAGTGAAAGAAGCATGTACTACAAGGGGCCCGCCTTCCGGAAGATAATTCCAGTGTTTTGGGTGTCCCCCCTCACATGAAAAAGAAGTTTGCCAGGCAAATACCTAAGGTAAAGGAGATAATGCTGATTCTAAAAAAACATTCTTTCTTTAAAGGAGAGAACTCTCATTCAGAACATCTTCCTCTAGTTTCACATTCTGTGTCAAGTGCAGTCCTGCCGCTTCCCAAGGGCTGGCTGGATCTGGACCTGAGATAAACTCGCCACTCCTTGAAGGAAGACTCACTCCCAGTTGATGTGATGCACTCCAAGCCCCTCCCTGACCTCTTCCTGCTCTGTTTTGACTCCTCCCTTAATCTCACGGGCCTGCAGTCTCCCATTCTAATCAGTTGGTTTCTTTGGGTTTCTGCTAGCAGGAGATAAATGAGCAGAAGAGTTTGGTAGAAAACAAATTGGTTGCAATAAAAATTTCTTCAACATAACAAATTAGTCCAAAAAATTTATTTCTAATCATTGACTTTTAATGCGTTTGATAATTTTGGTGGTCAAGAATTTGCTTTACTGCACCTGGCTGGTGTAGCTCAGTGGATTGAGCGCGGGCTACAAACCAAAACATCGCAGGTTCTATTCCCAATCAGGGCATGTACCTGGGTTACAGGCCATGACCCCCAGCAACCGCACATTGATGTTTCTCTCTCTCTTTCTCCCTCCCTTCCCTCTCTAAAAATAAATAAATAAAATCTAAAAAAAAAAAAAGCTTTGAGTACCTACACAGAAATTATTTTTTAAAAAAAGAATTTGCTCTACTGCTTCTTTGGGTTTTTGAGAATATTTTTGTGCACAAATACATATTTTTCAAGGAATCATACTGTATGTACTGTTTACCACATTTTAAAATATTTGCAATGACTGGTAATAAGGCACATTTACATGGTTTTTAAATATCTAAAATGAACTCACTGATGGACATTTGGGCTGCTTCCAAAATCTTGGCTATTGTAAATAGCTCTGCAATGAACATAGGGGTGCACATATTCTTTTGAATTAGTGTTTCGGGTTTTTTCAGTAAATTTCCAGAAATGGAATTGCTGGATCATAAGGCAGTTTCATTTTTAATTTTTTGAGGTAAGTCTATATTGCTACTACAATGGCTGTATCAATCTGCATTCCCACCAACAGTGTCCATCAGAAGATAAGTGGATAAAACGACTATGGTACATTTACACAATGGAATACTACTTGGCCATAAAAAAAAAAAAGAAGAGAAAACTTTACCCTGTGCGACAGCGTGGATGGGCAAATACATAAGTTTTGGGGGGGAACTAAAAAATTATGATAAATTGACTAACGCTTAAAAACTTTAAAGGTTATAGAATGATCCATATGCGTAAGGTATAGTTTTAAACACATTGCCTGAGGCTCTCTGCACCTGTAGCAGTCCAATGCCATTCCCCTGGTCCATTCCTCTGTGAAATGGCTTGAGTCCTGCCACTCGTCTGCTAACACAGGGAGAGTTTTGGCCTATGCTCTTTGTAACCTACATCACTGTGTAGGATCTTTCTAGCAAACATTTCTTCTAAGCATGGTCCTACATATCTGCCAGACCTGCCTACCTCCTTGACCTTGGCTAACCCTGAGCTCCTTTCTTTTCTCCCTTTCTTTAGTATTTTTGGGCAGATGGGGGTGGACGAATACTACTGCTGATAATAAGGATAAATTGATGCTAGCTAGGATTTAGGAAGTACTTATGTGTCAGGCATTGATCTAAGCATTTAATACATATTAACTCAAAATTTTATAAATCGGGCACTGTGACAAACCTCATATTCCAGACAGATGCAGAGGTAACAGAGGTTAAGTAACTTGTCCAATGTCAAATTATCAGTATTGCCTGGAATCATCAGTAAGTGGTCATTATTTAGTTCTCACCAAAATTATGTGAATAGAAATTATCATTTATAATTATTAATACTATATTAGATACTAATTCGTAGACTTTGAAAAATACCCTGACTCAGGAAAACCCTGTTCTGTGTTCTACTGCCCCTGGTAGAGCTAAACATTCATTCTGAAAACTGTTGGCCGTGAAAGCTGCCTCTAAAACCAAAAGGTGCACTTCAGGGAGCTGCGCCTGCTTAAGTGAATATGGGATAGTTGTGAACTTAGGCTGCCAGGCTGGGGGACATCTTTTTTTCAACAGCTCACTGAGCATTCTGGAGTTTATACTCCATGTCGTGAGATCTTTCAGTGTGAGACTTTGAACCTTATGGCCTTCACCCAGCAACAGCAAGCAGTTGGAACTCCCAAACAACTGCACCTCAAGCCTGGTGTGACTTAGGAAGCCTCCTAGATCATAATGACTAGCTTATCCACCTGCTTGGGAAGCCAGACCTGAGTGTTACAACTGGACCTTGGATACTGCTACACTGGAGAACAAGGAAAGGCTTAAATGAAGAACTCACTCTAGTGACTTCTAAAAACCTCGAATCTGTCACAGTGTGTACCACACGGTACCTGTGACACCTATGCCGGGTGAGGTCCAGGGGCATCAGCCTCACTTCTGAGCTCTATGGTAATGGATTGACACCCCTCTCCCACTTGCTTACCTTTTGCACAGGTCACAATTCAGATGCTATGCTACTATTGAATTGTACTCTGATAGGGTTTTGTTTTTGTTTTTCTGTCATAGAATAAGGCCATACCCCTTATTTAGGGGGACCTGTAAGTTGTTAAATACTGCAGCAGAGATCGAGCTAGAACAGATGAGCCTGCTACCTTTTTTAGGGAAACCAAGGTAGATGTGTTACCGATAATTCAAAGAAGAATCTTCAACACAGAGAAACTTGGAACATAGTAATAGGTGGAAAGTGGCACTTTACCTTTTTAGGGTTTGTTTGGACTTACCAGGAGTTGAGTGTTGAGGGCCTCCTCACTGACATGGGGGCCACTGCCACACAGCTGCCGAGTGGGAGCCAAGCAGAGACGCTTCCCTGGAGACCCAGACATGAAGGTAAATGCTCATGTTCTGTAAGTCTGTCAAGTTCAATCTAAATCAGGGATTCAAACTGAAAAGCCTTCAAGGACTTGGACAAGTTAATCGGCCCATGGGCAATGTGGTGAAAGGAAGTCCATACCCATGGAGGCATCCAAGTTTCTAATGTACTGCATGAAGTGCTTCCCCCATGCAGCACTAACAGGCATTTCTACGTAACACATTATTCAATAGTTCAAAAGAAAATAGAAGTCTTTAAACTCTTAACACTATTTTTAATCAGTGTAAAAGGGGAAAACAACAATGGCAGAAACTGTCGTGGAGGTAAGAAAGTGAGGAGGAGGCAGGCAGATGGGAGGCTGGGCAGCGGATCCTGCAGCGGGCTATGCTGTTCAGCCTGGTGTGCTGTGGTGTTTAAGGAGCAGGCGAAAGGGTTAGTGTCCCCCTGCTGAGTCATCCTCATGGTCTCAGTGGTGATCTATGAAAGATCCCAAGGAAAAGTTTAGTCTCAGACCGAGGGCTTTAGTAACAAGATCTGCCAGTTCCTCTGTGGAGATTCTTCCATTGTCACTTTGGCAGAGCAGGATTCAACTTGGAGACCCGGTGGGTTTCTTTACGACTTCATTCCTGGGTGTCTTCCACCCCGGCCCCGTGGTTCTTCCTCATCCCCACAGCCACAGTGACAGAAATGACCCACTGCACCCTCTGCAGTGGGCAGCCGTCAGCCCCAGACCCAAGCCAACCACTTACAGACGTTCTTTCCTCTCTCGTGTCTTCCAACTTGCGGTCATTGAGGGCTTTGTTTTCATTCTGCTTTCGGAGAGCCCTCTTTAGGTCTTCCAGCTGCCCATACCCTTCTCACTGTTGACCATCTGTAGTCCAGTCACAAGAAGCTGGAAAATCTTGTAATAGAGGAATATTCTTTGTTCCGTGCTACCTATTTTCAGGATGGCTGGTCTTCTCAGTGCCCCAGAGCCAAAAGCGTAGTAATTCTCACCAGGCTCTGAATACACCATTCCCTCATTCTCCCGAGTACACACATCTCATTTTTGGGTCTTATGTGTCAGCCATGTCAGCAGAGACCAGATTCTAGAGAAAAGCTGCTTGCCACCTGAGGTCAGCAAGAGGCACAAAGCCATAGACTGCAAACGGGCAACACGTCAGGGTAGAACAGTAGCGGTGGCCTACGCCTCACATTCTGTCAGGTCAAGACTGAATAATGGGTCTGCTCATTTTTCCATTGCAAAGAAGAGGTAATCTGGGAGCTTTATAGCTCTATCACGTGTATCCCCTCTGGTTCAGTAGCCATTCCTTTGGTCAACCCAGGAGAGACCACATCAGCATGAAACAGCCCAGCTATGCTTCAGCCGTAGCATGGAAGACAATTCAGGCTATGCTGACCACCAAGCCCACTTCCAGGATCCGGTGGAGTAAGAGAGGTGTGGACTCCAGGAGTTACTAGGGGGACTCCCAGTTGCTACAACCACACTCCTAAATAGGTTTTCTGCCACGAATCCGGGGAAATCCCATTCCATCTCCCCAAACTTACAGGTATGTCACTGAGCTATTCTTATGCGTAGTCATAAATTGGGTCACTTTTAGCTTTAAGTATCACATGAGATTTAAACCTAGGTCTATTTAACGAATAGCCTGGTCTCTTAAATGTTAGGCTATTTTCATTTATTTTGTTGAAAATCCTGAGGTAAGTGAAGATCAGGATGAGGAGGACGATAAGAGGCAGGAAATGCAGGATTTCGTAGTATCAGCCCTGAGCCTTCAGCCCTGGTACGTGTTGTTTCTTCTTGGAATCACTGCTACCTGGTGAGCTGTTTACAGAATAATATGGAGATGAAAGAAGCAGATAGACTAGCCAGGGAGCAGTTTAGTAATCCTATTATTCAGACCTCTTCATAATCCAGTTTAGCTTCCTCACTAATGTGAATTAATAAGATTTCACAAGTACCACATTCACTAACAAAGGTCTTGCTACATAATTATTGTTTACACTTTATTTTTTAAATTTTAATTGTTCAAGTACAGTTTTCTGTCTTTTACTCCCATCCCAGCCCACCCCCCCCCCCAGTCCTCCCCACCTCCCTCCCATTTCCACCTGTTTACACTTTAATAAATTGCTTAGGAAGGCCACCTCCAAATCCAAACTCGATACAATATGTTTCATTTTCTATTTCTTCCCTGGGGGGGTGCATGATTATTTTGGGAAAAGCATTGGCTTGTGAGTTAAATTCTGTATCTTGCCCTGCCTCCTCTGGAAGACCTAGATCTCTCTTTTCCCCCCTCCTTATTTTTTTAAGATTTTATTTTTTAGAGAGAGGGGAAGGGAGGGAGGAAGAGAAAGAGAGGAACGTCAGTGTGTGAGAGAAACATCTGATTGGTTGCCTCTCACACACTCACAACCAGGACTCCCACTGACCCTGCAATGAAGGCATGTGCCCTGACCCAGAATCGAACCTGCAGCCTCATTGGTTCAGA